ATCGCTCTGCTGACCCTTGGGGTCCATTTTATTTTGGTATACCTTTTCTAGGTACGTTAGCCTGTGACCACGGAAATTGGCCGAGTCAAGTGATGGATTAGTACGGAGAGATTGAGACAGAAGGAGGTACTGGATAGAGAGACCGGGATGGTTTTTAATGTGAAGACAACAACAACAACAACTCTCGAACGCAAACAGACAGACATACCTAGTCTAGTACTTCTACAAGACCGGTACATACCTGCGGAGGAAGGGCCTGCACGAGGGGCAGGGACGCAGCATGCGCCAGGATCCCCTTTCCTTCCTGTCCCCCTCCACCCCTCGCCACGCGGTGGACCTTGGCTATGAGCGTCCTCCTTCTGCTGCCACGGCGGTGCCCTCCCGACGTGAATATCGCCCCACCGGGGATTGAGTCCACAGCCCGCGCTGCTGGCGTAGGGTGTGATGCCACAGCCGGGGCGGGTGGCACAGCCACGCGCAGCAGACAACTAGCCGGACAAACCAGCAGCACGAACGCGCCCACGATGACACGCATGGTGTCGCTGCTGTCACACACAGCCTCTCTCAGTGAAGACGCCAAGCCCTTTGCCTCGGCCTGCTGCCTGCTGCCTGCCCCTTCATGATTTTTTGGCCCGTTTGGATGACGCCTCCCCAATGGTCTGTCACTCCCTTAACAGCAGCCAGCCAGGGCAGCAGTCCGCAGTGTGCCTGTCTTCTGTGTTGCTGAGGTGAGCAGGAAGGTCGTTTGTGTTCAAGGTCGGTACACAGGGGTGTTGGGCACGAGTGCTTCCTTCATTTCCCTGAAAACTAGGCGTGAATGAGTGCGAGAATGCGAGACGATGCTTGCGGGGATCATGCTTATGGTACGTAGTCTACAGCTTGTGACCCGTATGTACCACCGCAGACAGCAAGCATGCAGTGCACTAGCAAACTAGCGGTAGGCTACGCAGTAGCAGAGAACAGCAGGTTGCTCGAGAGTGATGGTGAAGTGGCACGGCCTGCCGTTGTTGCTGGCGTGCTCAGCTGCGCACTAATCCTGAGACAAATTACGGTTCCCTTTGAACGGCTGTTCCTAAGCGACACATGAGGGGAGGGGACAACACATCGTGAGCATAAGCGGTGCTTTATGCATGCATCCTATCATCCCGTGTTGCAGCAGTACAGCAAGAACACTGTGCACGCGTGTATATGCGGGCCATAGGCCACCAGCCCCTTTCGAAATCCGTGGCATCTCTGTCATGAAGGTACGTATGCATACAAACATACACAAACCCCAACCAATTTGAGGTTGGTTGATGTTGGGATGTTCATGCCACGACAAGACACGATGACGCGATGGCCATCTTTGATGGTCGTAAGGGATGGTTTGCTCCGCCGCCCGTGTGGTCGGTCTTGCTCAACTCGTAAGCACGTCCAATTCACTGGCTATGTCTGATGCTCTTGCTGTGTGTCCACTTTAGCGTGTACTTGCACGCTATTCAGCCGGCAGTGTTTCAGTGCTGTAGACTAAGCACTTGTGTTCGTTAATCGTTTCGTTCCATTGTCTCCCTGCGAGTCAGGCTGCCTCGCAGTTGACACTTGTCACCTGACCAAAGCCCGGCAATACATGGCAATGAAATCATGAATGTATCCGTCACAAAATGATTCGTCTAATGTTTTCGAACCCCGATCCCATTATGCCTCCGTTACAATGCCGTGATCGGACCCACCGCAGTCATGCCTTCGGTCAAATAAAGGTACTCTGCTCGTTACTCGTCGGCCCGGTGGTCTAGTCGATATCCTCGAAACCTTTTAGAGGTCAATCATGGGTTCGAATCCCGGCGTAAGCGAGCTTTTCCTGCCAAGTGAGTTTGTTTTCTATCGCTTCCGCTCCTGGCCTAATGGATATCGCTAGTTCGTGTGTGTGTGTGTGTGTGTGTTTTTATTATTAGCATCGACCGCGCTAACCGGCTGACCATTTAAAAGACGTCAGTGCCAGCGGGTAAAAATCAAGGTCCCTGGAAGGGGGCCAAAATTCGAAAAATGCGCAATGCGCTTGATGCGAATGCCAATACGACTCTCTCCATATGTTCTTTCACGTAGACACA